GGAAAGGCAGAAACACTTGCCCCGACGTCAGTCTTCAGCATCTTCGGTCGTGTAGGTGTCGCCGGGGGTCTTGGTTGGTCGGAACCACAAAGAATGGGGTGGTGGCGGCTGGACGATGGAGGAAGGAGGTATAAGGGTGGTGTGGCTGCATATCCTTTAGGGCTAAGGTCTAACGAGTGGTGACGAGTTATATACCCCCGTCACATTTCAAACTTTATTCCATAATACCATCTTTGGTACCTCCCTTCCCCTTCTTCTTTCAAACTAAGTACAATATTTACCAAATGGCCCCTATCTTTAACAATTCCTTACAATCCTAGTCCCAGAAGTTACCATTTAACCCTCACATTCCAAAAACCCTTTCACTCTAAGTCCAATAATTACCAATCACCCCTCTGACTTCTAAAATCCTTTTCAAAATAAATCCCAAAATTACTCTTTAACCCCCGAATAATCCAATTTATAACATTTGGCTCCCCAAAACCAACACCTCACTAAATAATATGGATTTAGGGCGACCTTTCGTTCATCAATTTTATCTATTTATTTATTTAATAAACAGAATGTTACACAATTAGTGCCTTAACAGTTAGACATGACAATGTATGATACGAATAATAGCTTCCAGTAGTTCCATTGGTCACCCGTTGCTTCAGCGAGTGCAAATGTAACATCCCAAAAATCAGAGTGAAATTTTCATTTTTCAAAAACAACCCAACACCATAATTGTTTGCAAATCATTGTTTCAAAAGTATAAGTTATAAATCAAAGTATCCCAAAATCCAATAACATAAAATCGGAAGGAATGTGCACGATCATGCCTTTGCTTTTCCCCGATCCTCGAATGTACTTGAAACAACAAACTAAACCGTAAGCCAAAGCTTAGTGAGTTCCCCCAAAGTACCACCACACAACATAATAAACAATAGCATGCATACATGAGCCTTCAGCATGAATGGACCGCCTCGCAAGCCTACAGACTATCTGGACCGCTCTTAGGGCCTTCGGCTTGACTGGACCACCTCGCAGACCTTCAGTTTATATGGGCCGCCCTGGGTGTCTTGGCCTTCAGCACCAGCTGGTCCGCTTCAACCCATCAAACCATAACATGTCGACATATACAATATTACTCAATAATTAGCAAACACAACAAATCTACCCGTCTAATCACATAACCAATGAACACATATCTTAGCATAACAACACAAAACAAAACAGGATATCTAATCCAATGGGCGAGTCTTGATGCCTTCGACCCATAAGTCCAGTGAGGAAAACTCACATCTCAGTCTGAACAAATAGTTGAATAGGGCACTGCTCCGAATATCAGCTCAACTAGTCACATATACATCAATAGTACAAATCTCAACTATAACTCAGAATACCCAAAATACCCTTATGTCAAACTTGGTCAAATCATGGTCAAAGTCAAAAAGTTAAACAGTCAAAAAGTCAACCCAAGTCAACTCAGCTGAGTACACATAGCATTTAGAATGGACGCATAACGTACTCAGACCTTTGACCATAATGCAATACTGACCACGGACGCGTAGCGTTCTCAACTGCATCCTTTTTCTTCTATTAAGAGCTTAATTCTAAAGTGCTTTCATCCAAATTCCATGTCTAGTCCTCAAATGACGTCCTTAACCATAAAGTTTCCAACTTTATGGTCTAACATGGCTATTAAGTGCTTAATACCAAAAACCCTAACTTCTTAACTCATTAAGACATCCTAGTTCATGCATGGAAGGAAACTAATGACCAAGACTATATTTTATGCTTCTAAACACCCTAAAACGTCTGAAAGGAGAACTTATATGAATTAGAGTAACCCATACTCATAATACTAAGCTTATGGGACCAAGCTGAACACAAAACCATGGCTAAACAAGATCTAAGCATAACTTCATCAAGTTCAGAGCTTTTTACCTCCAAAAGATGTCCAATGATGATGTAATTTTGGATCCAAGGTGCTTAACTCTTCTAAGATGGTCTGCTCTTCTTTCTTCCTCCTTCAAGAACACTAAAACACACTTTAATGGCTAAACTCTCACAAAATACCACTACCTCATATCTAGGATTTCGAATTCGACACTAGATGGTACATACGTGACGATGGCAGCATACAGGACGTTGGCGATGGTGGAGCTCAATATGAAACCCTAACAGTAGTTCGAAACGCCATGTGGCGGTTCAAAATCCTAGGCGACGACGATATATTTAGACGTCAAGGAAATGGAGGTTTTCGGCTAGTTTTTGTATAGGAGGGTGGCGATGTTGAAGGATGTAGTAGTTTGTAGTTATTTTCGGGAAACGAGTGGTATAAGGAGGAGGTGAAACATGTGTCTCAATGGAAGGATATTGGTGGTCTTGAGCTTTGAACCGGTGATTGGGTAGGGTGAGGTGTGTGTAGATTTCCAGTGGTTGTACAGATTTCTGATGGTGGTTGCACGAATTTCCGAAGAATATGGTGGCATTAGACTGGAGATGGTGATAGACCAGAGAAGAAATGGTGGTTTAAGGAGGTGTTATTTTAGAGAAGAGGGAGGAAGAGAGAGAGATCAGTAAAGGATTGGGGTCATATATTTTTTTAAAAAAAATTAATAATAATAATAATAATAATAGTAATAATAATAATAATAATGACAACAACATTAATTTGATTGGAAAATAAATACACAAAGGGATTTATGGTCATTTCAGATATGAGATAGACTAAATCCGCAATAAAATCGCATATCAGGGACGAAGCGTGTAAGTTTTACACAAACGAGGAACGGTCCTAGTTAAAATTTGAAATAGGGACTAAACGTGCCTTTTGGCACTTGTATGAGGGACAATTCGTGTAATTTACTCAAAAACAAAAGATATAAGAGTTTTTTTAGAACGACATGATATTAATAAGAAAAACCAAAAGAGACTAGCAAGAAGCTAGCCAACCAAGCAACACATCAAGAGCAAATAGCTAGCTGGGGGTTTTGGAGCCAACCTACCCAATTTATGTTTTTCTTAGACCTAGCCTTATACCAAAAGAAAGTTTGAGAAACAAAATTATCAAACAAAACAACCGCCCTCGGACCATGAGGAGCAAAAATCCGAGTACTCCTGAAATTCCAAATATGCCACCAAAGAGAATATAAAACGCCCTCCAACCAACTTTTAGCCTCACTAGTGACCGAAGCGAAGCAAACCAACCCACCCTGTCTTCAAAAGAATCGATCATATAATCATCAATGTTCCACCATCTAAATACCTACAAACTAAGATCCCTAGATAAATGACAATTGAAAAATAGATGATCTCTATTTTCAGTGGCAAAAGTACATAAAGGGGACTACACTGACGGAACATCCAAACCCCTAGTAACAAGATTATGTCGAGTAGAGAGTTTAGCAAACATGTTAACCTTGATGGGCACCAACTTACACCAATTAGTCTCAGAAGAAGAAGCCGGAAACAACTTATCATTAATGAAAGATCTAGCAGACGTAACCGAGAAATCGCTCACTCCAGAAAGAGAACAAACCCACCTATCATTGCTATTGGATAAAGTGACTGACTCTATCAACTGAACAAAACCTTCACATTGGTTGCTTTCTAGATGAAAAGAGTTTACATGGAAACGTAACATGGAAATTTAAGATAAACTGCCAACAAGCTGCGCCACTAACGCTTTTTGGATGACAAAACTATTTTCTTTTTAAATGATATATATATATATATATATATATAATGGGATCATAACATTACTATGCATGACTCGTTACACAAACTAAAAAAGAAATGTGAAATTATCAAGTTGAATAAATAACTTTTATTTCTTTAATCTTTATATAGAAAAGCTTGTTACTATGCATGACTCCTCAAGTAGATACGCCACTTTGAGAATGAGATTTTCCATTTGATAAGTATACATGCCACCTGGGTAGCAGATGCGCCACTTGAGGAGAATATACGCCACTTAGGAAGCTTGATGTGCCACACTTGAAGAGAATGCACCACTTTTATACAAGATGCGTCATCTTGGTGCAAGGGTGTTCCATTTATGATGCTTGGTGCGCCACACATGTCCTTGATGAGCCATGATATCCCTTGATGTGACACTTATGATGTGATGTACATTACGATGCTCAAGATTGTCCAAGGATGTTCAGAAGTTGAAGATGCTCAAGGTGAATACCCTAAATGGCATGATGTGCCACTTTGGTGGAGATTTCGCTATCATTATGGAGGATGCTCCATTATGATGTGCCATGGTCATTCCTAATGAACCATATTGGCTCAAGATGCTCCATCATGTGTGTGGCTGATGCTCATGCAATGTATCTCAAGGATGAAGGTTCTGGAAGCGGCTGCATGGCGGATTATGATTGGTTGACACCTTTCATGGGCCTATAGATTAATGAGCTTGGCTCATTAGGATTTTACGGCTGATCCATAGTCTTTAAATAGGGATGTCTGCTAATCATTTGTTAGTGTCTTGAGTTCTAGTGAGTAGGCGAATCTTTGTTGAAGCGTACTTGTAACCTATGTTTGAGACCTCATAAATAAAGAATTATTCCCTCCTACATGTGAACGTATGTCAACTTGACCGCACCACGTAAATAATGTGTCTTGTGTGCTTGTAGTTTCGTGTTTTATTTGCTTTACTTCCTAACAATATACGTATTGTTTTTCATCTTGTTACTTCAACTTTATTTTTTATAATTTTTCTGTTATGTGCTACATAATTATATCCATCATGGTGGTGCATGTTTCATATGTTGGATGTCATCTATGAAAATATTCTCTTTACCTTCAGATCGGTACAAGTTTGAATTACTACATATATCTTACCTCATTTATCGTATTTTTATAAGAATTAATAATTTTTTTGTGATCTTGTTATTCCATCTTTCATATTTTGTGTCAATTAGTTTATTCTCAATTTGAAAGTCAAAATAGTTGGTAGTTTTTTTTATGTACTTGACAAATGTTCAAACATTTATATAAAATGTTAATAAATTCAATAAGGTGTGAAGTTGAGGGACAAGATTCCACGTAGAACGGTAGAAGTATCGGCATAGACCGCCATTTTTGATCTCGGCGGCCACGAGTATGAGCAAAGAAAACTAATAAAGTATTGGTAGCAGTAAGATAACTTTGATGTTTTCTTTTGTCGGTGTATACACAGAGGACACTGATATCTTCGTTGAGAGCGATTGATAGACAAAAATCGTAACCCTAACTAATTTTCTGATACGAATCATACGCGTATATGTTACATGTTCAAGATTCGTCGCCGTTTTCATCATCAGGAGGCAATTTCATCGTCGGTTCATCTACTTGTGAAACTGAAATGGAAGAATCTGGAACACACTCAGCATCAACAACAGGCAACTTGTTAGTTTCAGATAAGGAAGGAAACAGTTTGACCGTACGCGATGGACCACCGACCGACGACTGTTGCCCTATCTGCTTCGGCTCCTTCTCCGCTCCATGCCGTGGTCCTTGTGGCCACTGGTACTGCGGTATGTGAAAATTCCTTTATGTTTTCAATTTGTTGGTAAATTACAAACTTGCTTGTTCATTTGCTTACTTTTATGAGGAATTACGCGTACAATTGGATGGTTTTGATTGATCAGGTAAGTAATCGCAGTATAGCATTTGCTTTCTGATTGATTAATTCGTCTAACAATGAAGGAAATTATGCCTGAATTTAGACCTCAAGGAATTCATTGTTGGTAGCTTAGAAATGCGACTATGTTTGTTGACACAGCTGTACAATGATCTTGATTACATTCGTTTTTGGGGAGTTTCAGTGAAAAATCTGGTTTGCAACGACACAATCCATTTGATCACAACAAACTTGTGCTATAAATTCTGTTGGTTCTCCTTGGATGTGATTATCTTCAACCTTTGCATCATATCTTGCCTTTTTATGTGAATTCCACAGTGGCTTAAGTTTTTCATTGGATTAAGGAAATTGCAATAATCTTCCTTCTTCCCTTGGGTGTTAGAATCTATCGAGTCTTTCATTAGTTATACATTATAAGTGTGTTTCAAATCAAGCAGCTATGGATCATATCTTACCTTTCTACAGGTGGTTGTATCATGGAGTATTGGAACCACGTTGCTGCATTTCAGCCTTGCAAGTGCCCTATGTGCTCCAGTCCAATTACCAAATTGACCCCAGAAGCAACATTATCCCAACAGCAGGATGCAAGGATCCGTGATGTTCTCAAGAATGTTAAACAGTACAATTGCCTTTTTGCTGGTGGTGCTTGCGGTTTCATTCTGGTAGGTTGACAGTTGACACCAACCAGACACCCTTCTCTAATATTGAAGGGGGTAGTTTCGTCTTTTCCCTAATTTTTTTTTCTTCTTGAAGCAATTCTGATGATTGTGAGTTTCTTGTGACAGCAAGTGCTTCAGTTGCCTTTATTTGTCAAGAGATTGCTTCAAGCAATGATGGATCCTGATAGACCTGTTGCTTATCTTAGCAGATTGCGTTTAGTTGCAGTTAAGACTTCAGACTTCCTTTGTTTTAGACTTAAATGCAAGAAATAGCAACATTATGATTACATGCATTTAGGAGCAAAGTTTTGAAGGAATTGCTGAATCTTATTTCTTGTTTGCAGGTGTTTCTTGGTGCTCTTTATACACTTAGCCCTTTTGACTTCCTCCCAAGATGTAAGTTATCTATTCAATGGTTGTTAAATGCAACAATGTTTCCCTTTTTTTTTTTTTTTTTTTTTTTTTACTAGTTTATGCAACTGTGGTGCAGGGAGGTACCTTGATGCTATAGACTTGTTTGATTGCTCTGCTATTGTACTATCGTTTAGCTTGTACTTTGTTGGTCTTTACACACGAAGAAGACGACTAAGACATTTACGCCAGCTGGCACAGGTCCCACGTTTTGACATAGATATGTAACAACACTGATTCTGAATTCACACATCAACTTCATGCACTCACTTCTAAACCCTAAACCCTAAACCACAAATCCTTTGTCTAGTATGGTGCATAGGCTTTATAGTTTATATGTATATATACTCGCAATATCTTGAGAAAGTTGCTATTTCTTTTTCTCCAAGGTAAATGTTGCTTCGTAAATAATATGGTAACAACAATTTAGGATTAATTGCATTTGTTGAGTGTAATAAGTGGAAGAATTGTTATATGTCTCTTCTTTTACTTCCATAATTATATAAATATACCAATAGAGGTATATTGTTCTTATCGGAACGAAAAATTAAACATAGTTGAACCGATTTAGTTTAAACGGATAATGACGTGTTGGTACTCAACTTTTGCAATTTTATATAATTGGTTGTTTTTTTACATATTCGACCAATAAATTTATATAAAATGTTAAAATATAATATTATTACTGTCAATTATAGGGTTTTAAGATTACATTGAGTCATTTTTCTTGTACATATTTGAGCAATAAGCTTACATACGTTGTTCAAGGCCAATCGATGATTAAAGATTTTCCCAAATTTAGACTTCTTTCCCGGCGACTTTTCATTTTAAGATGATACACACTAAACATTTCATATATTACAATCAACCAATAGTTACAAGTTCTTTTAGACAGATTGGTATGAACAATCAGTGGCGGAGCTTGAACAATTAACTTGGAGGCCGAAAACATTACAAATTGAAATTAACATTTAAAAAAAAAAAACAGATTGTTTTCAACAAATAAACACAAAAAACACCTAGAAAAAGAATTACAACTCAGCCCGACGACCTTTAATGTCTTTAAATTCATCAATCACAGACTTCGAATCAATGTTTTCAACAATTTCTCTTTCTATGTAAATCACCAAGTTGTTTGCGAGAAAATCATCCGACATCTTATTGCGAAGACGGTTCTTGAATATTTTCATTGCTGAAAATCCCCTCTCTGTTGTTGCAGTAGAAACTGGAAGTGTCAAAATTAACCTAACCACTTTATCAAGCAAATAATATGTCTCACGTTTCTGAGTTTCCACAAGACGCTTGCATAGGTCAGCAATAGTTGATACACCACTTAGCCTTGAATTCTTTGTCATATCAATATTAAAAATCTCCAATTGATATCGTAATTGAATCCTCTCTTGCTCCGTAAAATCTTCAGGATAATACTTCTCAACAAGAAGACAAATTTGATCAACGTTAATCACTTTAGAAACTAAAGTAGAACTAAGACTTAACAACTCCATCGCCTGATCATTGAATCTACTATTCAACTCATGTAGTTGTTTGTCCAATGTGGCTGTAAACAAATCCACTCGATAAAAATGTTCAAAAGTAACATGATTATCTGTTTTTCGAGGCCGATATCGAGTAGAAGTATAAGGAGCATTCATATCTGGCATATTTATTTCATGTTTTTCACAAAAAAAAAACTTTACTTGTGTAAGTAAAGACTCCCATCCTTTGTTTCTGAAATCATTTAGAACCTCCTTTGTTGCTGAAACTAACTCCATAGCATTAAGAATATCTTGGGATTTCTTTTGTAGAGCTTGAGAAAGTATATCAGTCTTTCCCATTACTTCCTTTATCAGGTAAAGAATAAACACAAACTCAAATGATTTCAGATAACAGTAAGCTGCATCAGCATCTCCGCGTTGAGAATAAGTAGCAGATACGTCATCAATTATTCCTTGGAGAACAACACGAGTACAAGCAAACATGTCAATCAAACTGCAAACGGAACGAAAATGAGAACCCCAACGTGTATCACCAGCTCTTCTTAATGTCCCAACTTGATTCAATCCTTTACCTGACCTAGTTCCAATAATTGTTCAATCTCAGTTGCCTTTGCCTTTTGTAAGTCATCATGACGCTTACTGGAAGCACAAACTACGTTAATTGTAAAAATTAAGTTTGTGAAAAATTGGTGTACCAGAATAATTTCCCTTGAAGCAGCCACCAAGGCTAGTTGCAATCTGTGAGCAAAGCAGTGAACATAATATGCATAAGGGCAATCCTTAAGAACAAGTGCTTGGAATCCATTCTATTCCCCTCTTATATTACTAGCACCATCATAACCTTGGCCACAGATTTTACTAACATCAAACTGATAGTGTAAAAGTTGTCTCCACATATTTATTTTCAAGGTTAATGATAAGGTATCCCTAACTCGAACCAAATCCAAGAACCTTTCCCGTATGATTCCTTCTGCATCAACAAATCTCAAAACTATCGCCACTTGCTCTTTTTTAGACTCATCCCGTGACTCATCAACCACGACACAAAAGTATGAATCTCCCACTGCGCTACGAATATGCTTTCGAACTTTATTTGCAATAATACTAAGAATTTCTTTTTGAATTTCCCCAGACGTATACTTTGAATTATAAGGAGCTTTCTCTAATATAACGTTTGCAACTTCATCATTATAAGATGCTAGAAGTTTTAGTAGTTGGAGAAAATTACCACGATTTTTGGAATTAGGAGTTTCATCATGTCCTCGTAAAGCACAAGCTTGGAAGGTCAACCAACGAACCGTGTCAATTGAAACTTTTAATCGTAAACGGTTTTTCAATATTTGCGCTTCATTTTGCTTCACTATGATATTTTCAATGTGTGCTGCTTGGTTCATCAAGTTTTCAGCAAATGCAACAGTATTTCTATGTTGTGAGCAACCAATATGTTTCAAGAATGCACAATTTTTTCCGTCATTAACTTTTTTCCAGTTATCAAATCCTTTAACAGTAAATGCATCGCAACCATGACACACACTTGGTTTATCATTAAATATATAACAAATAAAACAATAAGAAGCGTGTGTTGTTGGAGAATACTCTAGCCAATCAGGGAAAATATTGAACCAAGAATATTGGAATCTACGAGGATGTTTAGTTGAACCTTTAGCTTGATACTCCTTAAGACGTATTTGGAAAGGTCCTAAATTCATATAAGCTCGTCTCACTTGTTCCCTTAAATTGACCGGAAAATCCCACATTTGCTTGCGTTTAGCGGGATCTCTTTCTAGATTCTTCAAATCAACTTCATTAGGATTTTCCTTTTCTTGTGGTTGTGGCTCATTCTCTTGTAGATTTTCCTTTCCTTGCGGTTGTGGCTCATTCTCTTGTTGATTTTCCGTTTCTTGTGGTTGTGGCTCACTTGTTGAAGCTTTGTGACGTTTACTCTCTTCACTTTCATCATTAGTTTCTTTATCATCTACCTTTCTTTTGAAAAAATAATCTAAGGTTTTCATCTTTCCCATGATTATATCTAGAAAAATCAAAATGAAGGAACAATTGATTCAATCAAAAATTCAAAATCAAAATTAGAACAATAACCAATAATGTGACATCCCCATTTTCACGGCCAGAAAAGACCGATTTTGTTTATGCTTTATAAAAATCAGAGTACCTCTTTTAATAAAAATGTTGCGGAATTTGTTCCCAGAAAAACATGATAAATAAGTTATCAAAGCATTTCCTAAGAAATGTATTTTATTCATTTTAAAACATTTGGGATGTCATCGTCAATACAGAAACATAAGCATAAACAGAACTTACATTTATTTACACTAGTGATCTACATCTCTTTAATCTCTTAGTGTAATGTAACTTCATATCGACACCAGTGATACAAATAAGCTTGAATGGGTCAGGTTGGGAAACCTGGTGAGTACATAGGGATTTCAATCCCACAATGTTATATATATATATATATATATATATATATATATATATATATATATATATATATATATATATATATATATATATATATAATTTAGAACTCACAAAATATACAATTTCCCCATATTTATAATCAACTCTTACCCCACCCCGTCAATCCTCACAACGAGACTATCCATACTCTCTGACCTTAAATTTTACCTCTTACTCCCAGATTTAATCCATGTTCTCGGATCAATAATTGTGCCCATTCCATACTCTCGGATTAGGGACAAGTGTCTACGTCTAAATCCATACTCCCGGATTAATGACGGATAACTATGTCATGTCCATACTCCCGGACTAAGGACAACTGACTATGTCTTAATCCATACTCCCGGATTAATGACATTTGACTATGTCCAATCCATACTCTCGGACTAGGGACAATGACTATGTCTAATCCATGCTCCCGGATCAATGACATATATTAAAGTTCTATTCTCTGAGTATAACTCACTCGTACTCATAAGAAGATACTACCCAATATTCCCCATAATTAATTTAGGTTTACTCTTTATCCTAAATCATCATATATAATCAGGTATGTTCTTTAACACGTATTTCAGGCAACATCAAATAACTCGCACATAAACATATATTTAATATTTCAATCAATACTTGTATTAAAATCATGTTCATGAAAGGGACTATGCACTCACCTGTTAAGGTGGTGATTCCGAACTCTGATAGCGCTTCGCTTCTTAAAAATAATTTCCTTCGACGAAACCTAGTATTATTACCACTATATTTTAGTGTAATATTTACCGTGACTAATTATTATTATTATTATTATTATTATTATTATTATTATTATATAAACGTTTAAACAATATTTTCCAATCACTATGTACAGACAGGGGCAGACATAAAACAACGGAGGGCAAGACCATTTTGGCATATAGCACTTCTGAAATCTAACAACCCTATGCGGCCCTTTAAACCAAATTCCCAGTACCGCGAGTAGTTAAAAAGATATTATAACGACACTTATATAAGTCATAATAATAGCCCAAATATTTATTATAAGTTCATAATAACAATACTAATTTTAAATATAAGCTATATTAAAATAGGGTAAGCATAACTTACTTACAAGGGGGTTTTAGCTAGGAGTCGGGCTCTGCAGGGGTAGAACTTCGTTGCTGAATCTTTCTAAGAAAGATTCGTGCTGCGCTGCAGCGCTCACCTTACTATACAAAAACTACAGAAATAGAAGTCGAATCACGGGGGACCGAAATGCACGGGGGATAAGAAGAGAAAGACTCTTGAATCAAGAGAATGGTGCAAGAAATATGAGAGCCCAATGCTCTTATTTATAGTAACTGAATTTTCCAAAACTACCCTCATAGTTACTTAATGACCTTATAGTTATATAAACAACTAAACATCCATTTATAATACTATTTTAAATAGATTTAACGATATTTATACTAAACTA